GAGACAAGAACGCGATAGGAAAAGCACGCACTTGCCTAACCAAACCCTCCCACACCACTCCCGGCTGGCATCGCCGTCTGCTTTCACCGAGTCTGTGACGCCGAGGTTTCAAGTTCAGCTTTTGTTCTGGCAGGTTAGCTACATATTTACAAAAAAAAAGAGAAAAAAGAAAAACTCTAAAAAAACACAACAAAACCACCTTAAATAGGGAGAGTATAGCTTTAAAATTGGAAGGGCGAGGGTTGGAAAGTGTCTTGTAGTGCAGTTCAGAAGAGTCAGTTGGGGGGCAGGATTTGGGGTAGTGGCAGAGTTGGACGCCCGGCTTTAATGCAAGTCTTCACTCTGGGACAGCTCCGTTAGGATCTGAATGAGGTTGTCGAGCCCCCAGAGGTAGCCGTCCTCTCTGTTCCCCTCTACCCAGGGCACATTGTGCTGGAGAACTTGTCCCTCTGGCAGTGGTGTGGTTTTCCCAAAATCAATCATCCAGACTTTGGCCTGTTCCTTTTTGTCATGAATGAAAAGGAGGGAGCTCCCAATTACCTGCAGAGAGAGGAGACCAATTAGTCGAGCTTCTATTTTTCATCAAATGCATCCATGCCCTTCTCAGCCAGCCCTGGGTTTTTCAAATGCCTTATCTAAGGCTGCATTTGCAATAGATTATGCCAAGATTTTGCATGAGCAAAACTAAGCTTTGTGCTTGCCAGCTGTGTTTGCATATGCAAATCAGGCATTTAAGTAACCTCATTTAGCCATACAAATCCCAGCTTTTGGCACAAGAAAAGGATCGTAAAAATATGAGCATGAAAGAAAGAGATGTAATTTCAGAAACCAAGTCAAGGTCCTTGGGGAGGGAATGAGCTGAATTGTCTCTGCCTTCAGATTAAGATTTTTCCACCGCTCAATTCTTTATGAATGATTAGTGGTATACACGCTCACCAATCTTGCAGGCATCATCACCTCAGGAGCGGTTATGCTGTAAGCAGGTTACATGCAAAGTTTAGTCTTCTGCCTGAAACGCGCCATTCATTTGCACCCCAATATCACCTGGAATATACCCCGGGCTTTTGCTGAGCTCTGGGGACACATGCTACAGAGGCACATGTACATGAGTATTCTTTTCTGTGAGTTTCTCTGCTCTTTCATATTCTGCTTGGCCTCTGGGAAAATCCTGTGGCAGATACTGGCTTGTGCAAGCCCCCGGGAAGCCTGGGTGCTTGCATTTGGGTTTGAAAGGCGAGACTGGGCTGAGCTTTCCTTCCTAGCGTTGTATCACTGTCTCCTGCCTGGCTCTCTTTGTGGCGAGTCCTCACCAAACTGGCCAAGGAGAGCTCAGAAAAGCTTGGGAGCTGTTTCCTCTCTTCATTTCTTCTTACCTCGGTGCCTAGCTCTATTACTGCTCTCGAAAGGTGAAGCACATTGTCTCTGACTTCACCAGAAGTGGATATGTTCTTATGAATTTACATTTTTGAGGACTTTCTCCTCTAATGCATTGGGAGAATGTGCAAGGTCCAGAGATTTTTATTATTCCCCAGAAAGGCTTATTTTCAATTCTTTTCCTTATAAGCTGTTATAGTTCCCTCTTGGCCAGGAAAGACCATTTTAACTTTAAGGAAGAGACTTCTGCTGTTGTTCTTCACTCTTCTGTCTTTGGTAGGTGAGTTCTCCTGCAGTGGAGGAGCCCCGGAAGAGCACGGGCACCGCTCCGAGGCACTGAGGGACACGCAGAGCTTGGCCCAACTTTTGCTATGTTTCGTCTTGAAGCGGGACAAAAAGCTGAAGTTTCTTCTTCTTTTTGTTTTTTAAGAAGTGGAAATTCCTTTCAAAATCGATTTGAGAAGGTGTTTTGTTTCTACGTTTTCAAATGAAACACTGCCATTTCATTTCAGTGCGTTTTTTGTTTCCTTTGTTGAACTGACCTGAAACACTTCGTTTCAACACTTACCTGCGTCTTCCAGTTGGTTTACAGTCACGCAGTTCCTGCGGTGGCTCCCACGGCCCTGTCAGAGGCAGAGCGATGCCTCTGGGGAGGTAAAGCTGTGCCTCCCTCTTTGAGCCAGGGGTTCCTACGTGGCTCTTATTCCCATAAGACAACACGTGCCAAGGAAATGCAGTCTCATATTTGGTTAAGCAGATGCAGTATCAAATACTCTGAGTCAATGCTAAATCAATAAAGTTATTTAACTAAATAATGGAGTACCCAATTCCTGTTGAAATGGCCAGAAAGGGTGTATTTCCTCTTCATTTTCCCATTAGAACTGAAATTTCACTGTAGAAAATTTTGATTTCATGGACACTAATTTCTGAAGGAAAGTTGTGCCAAAGAAAGAGTCTTGCCTGTGTTGCCCCAGCAAGCTCTGTGAAGGTAGGCTGAGGATGATCAGCAGTTTATAGCTAAACTGAAGCCTAGTTTGAACGCACTGAGCGACTGGCAACCAAATGATACCTGACATTTGCATTCAGATAGGAATTTCTCTCAAGAAGACCCTTATACTTATACAATGAGCATTCTTCCCAATCATCTGAAACCATAAACAGCCTGTATAACACCTATATCACTTTCAATCCATATGAACATAGGTTTTCATTAGATGTGAGCCCGTGTCAGATACACAAACATTATACCAGTCAACAATCATACTTCCACGCAGATAATTAGATAAACAGGGTTATAAAAATAAAGATATAAGAATAAATTCAAGTTGTAGAAATTTATGACCGCTGACTTCAACTCCTCCTCTGTTCTTGGATAAACTGAGATTAAACCATTCACATTTACAGACAGATCTATCTAAACACCACCGCAGGAAGGAAATGTAAGTGTTACCTCATGGCACTTAAAGAATGGGGATGTCTCCAGGGTAGCACGGATACCCTTCAACCGGTTAAGGTAACTGTTCTGGAATTGCAAAGAAAAACAAGCTGTCAGTGCTACGGGAAGCCTACAGTAAAAAAGGGCCATACAGAGTAAACAAAAAAATCCTCTGTCCCCGTATCCTGTCTCCGATAGTGCGTTCGCACGGGGAGACGTCGGGGGCGAGCGGTCCCTGGCAGCTCCGGCAGTGCCTGCGCCACGGGTGGCCTCCCAGCCCCAGCGGCCTCTGATGGGCCTCCCTCCAGGAGCGTGCCCTGTCTTCTCGGGGACCCACTTCTCCTTCTGGCCTCTGCAGCATCCCGCCAGCTCCTGGGGCTTTAAGTCCGCCCAAACTTGCCCACACGCAGGCCAAGGCAAAGGCGCCGGCGAGGCATCGCCGCGGGCTGCCGGGAGGCACCAACAGCTTCTCCCCGGCCCCTTTGATCATTCAGCTCTCAGGTCTAAGCAGAAAGGCGACGTACAGGCACGGGCGCAGCAGCTGTCCGGGCAGCGTGACTCACTTGTTGCCACCTGGACTGTGTGGGGCTATTACTGCTGTAGGGCAACACTTTGACGGAAGGACCCTAGCTAGACCAAGGCCGTGGCGGCGTGAGAGCGCGCCGAGCTCTGCTCTTTGTGGATGAAACGCAGTCAAGCAACGTGGTTGACAGCTCCAAGGGCCATCGCTGGGCAGCTCTCGTCACAGCCAACATTTGGAGGCGGTGGCGCCGGGGCCGTGCCAGCTGCAGCCTTTCATTTGAGGGCTTTATATAGTAAGACTGAAAACGGGAGCAGTTTGTCAAAGAGGATATTTGACACAGTCGGTGTAAACTGTTTACCGCTAAATCTCTTATTGCCCTGGCAACGCGGAGCCGCGCAGGTAGGGGAAATGCAGATGGCGGGAGCCAGCGGCGCAGCGAGGAAGCCCACCCCGCGGGCGAGACCGGGAGGAGGAAACCCTCAGCCCACCCCCGCACCAGGATGTGGTTTCTATTTGCCATTTTTTATGCTATTGCAACAGAGAGTCTCCCAGGGCCGGGGGGCCCTTCGGGGCTGGGCGCTGGCGAGACGCAAGGCCCTCCCACGTTTTCCCGGGGGTGAAACCCCCCTCGCAGCCGGCGGGCCCCCCGCAGCCTCCTCCCGCCACCACCCCGACTCACCAACACGTTACGGTTTCCCTTAGTGAATTCTCTGAAGGCCTCGGTGACTTGTTCCTTTGTCCGCGTCTTCTTGAAATCCCGGTTCACGGTGCCGTCCTCTTTCTGAAAAAGAGGGAAATGTCGTGAGCAGGGTCTGAGCCGGAGGAAACGGCTCCTGGTTTAGGGTGTCCCGGAGCAGCAGGGGGCAAACTAGCCCTTGTTGGCAGTTAAAGGGTCGTGACGGTGGGTGATAAAAAGTCATTTTTCACAGCCCACGGATAAGCGCGGTGGCGGGGGGCGGGGGCCAGCCCCCGGCTCGGGGCGTCCCGCGCGCCCTCCCATCCCACCCAGCCCTCGGAGCCGGCCTCCAGGTCACTCTCCGTCGCCGCAGCACCGCCGGAGCTCTGATATTTGGATCATTTCACCGTCCCGACTCCCTCGCGGGTCGGGCAGGCAGAGCTCGCTTCCTGCCTGCAGCGGCTATTTTCGAAAACACATGCTTGTGCTCACAGGTTTGCTTCCAGAGCTCTAGTCCACCACGAAGGACAGCTCGCTGGCACGCAACAGAGCGAAGGGACGGGGCCAGAAGACGTCCTGTGAGGCTGGGGAAGACGAAGTAAAGATGAAGAACTGGAGTAGAGGACAGGGAGGGAAGGGAGCGCAACGAATCACCTGCCCTGCAGATCCACATGCCATGGCGGGCCATGGAGACCCTTCCAGGGAAGCCCCAGGCATTGAGGCTGGCCCCTGCCACATGCCGTTCCCCTAAGGTAGGACGCTGGCCGCCGGCAAGACTGCCTGCAGCCCGGCCAGCTGGGACGCGCTAACAGCGCAAGAGCTGGGTGCGTCGAGCCAGGCTCCAGATTCAGACCTGATGTGCCGTCCAGGAGGAAAGATGCAACGCGAGTTCACCTTCCAGCTCGCTTCTGTGCAAGCTGTCTCAGGCTCCAGGAGGACAACCAAGCCCAGCCTGAGGGCGGCCGGCTGCCCTGCTGCAGGAGCGAGCCAAGGAGAGACAAGGGATGATAGATATCAGTTTGGAGCGGGGCCACGGCGCTAATTCCACATGTAAGGAGCACAGCTCTCCGCAAAGCATCCAAGAAAGGAGATGGACTCCTAAGCGCTCCTAAAAATAAATAAAAGCCACAGATGGCCTTTCAGATAAGGCAGTCTTCAGCTTCAGGAAAGCCAAAGCGACTCTCCGTAATTCTCCTCCCATAATGACGCCCCACTCGCGGTCCCTTGGCCTGCCAGATGCCACTGTTGTGTGTCAAAAGCCACGACATTTACAGGTGCTCTGGCCCCACGGGGGCCGCGCTCGACAAAGCCGAAACGTGAGGGGGGCTGATAAGGGCTATCGCAAGTGGCCTTTGCTGGCCTCCACCCCGCCGCAGCACTGGCAAACCCGCTTTGCTCCGATGTGGTCCGAGCAGAGCTCAGGTTGACCGGTTGCGTCTCGGTGGCGCTGCCGGCCAGGTAGCCATGTCCTGCCGGGAAGGGGCTGCGAGCCACCTCTCTCGGAAACGTCAGGCGAGGATTTCCAGGTGTCTCGGGGAACTAAGGCAGCGGCATTTGGGGCTTGGTTCTGCGACCCTACAGAAGTCCCAACCTCTGTCAAAATTTCTAAAGCAATACCATCTGACCACAGCCTTGGAGCAGGAAACCATGCATGTCTCTCGGACCAGAGCACTGGGTTAAACAGCACTTCTTGCAGGGAGAAGTGGCCAAGTTAAGCTTAAACAGGGTCGATAGGGATCATTTTTATTACTTTCGCCATGGTGATTTTGTTAATAGCTGCTGTTTCTGACATTTTCAAGGTGCTCCAGAAAGTTAGGTTAGTGTCAACGTCTCCTTTTTGCAGAGGAAAATTTCCATTTTAAAGAGGTAGACCAGATACTCCAGGTTGCCAAATGAACTTGGAGCCGAGTAAGGCAAGGCAAAGGGTCTACGTCCTCGTTCCCCGTCCTGCAGCTGCCAACTCGGCTTACGTGCCCACGCTGTCCCCAGGGCTACTGCCTCTCTCCGGTCTTGTGCCCCCTTTCCAACTCACACATCCAGGCACTCCTGCCCTTCAAGTACACGTGCAGCTCCCCGCTGCTTGGGTGGGAACGTGCACAAGCACTTCTGCATCAGCCCGGCTGGTATCCCACAGAGCAATGGCCTCAGGCCACCACTGGCAGGCAAGATAGGTTCACTCCCGTTTCTCACAGGGAAGTATCCTCAGTAGGGAAGAAAACACAGGGAGACTTGTAATTAAATAAAATTTTCCTGAAATTTCTTCTGAGGGCTCTGCAGCTGCCTCGAGTTACTGAAGACCTCTTTCCCTGATGCAGGGATGTGACCCCAGAAACAGGTCAAATGCAGTGATAGAGCTCAGCATGACCTGCTCGACAGCCCTTCTTCTAAGCAGGAAGAAAATCAGCCAGGAACCAGTGCAAACTGTTAATACTTTAGATTAGGGGAAAATAATCCAGAAGCTGAGGGATTTAAGGAGAATTACAGCAATTAGAGCCCTGATCAAATTAGTCAGCTCCTAGCGGCAGCAGCAGGATTAATCCTGGAGGCCAGCGCTTCTCAGCGTCTTGCAATTAAAGGGCTGCCTCACCTTTGAAAGCATCCACGGCCCACATCGTGCAGTGGTTCACAGTGGCTTTCACTTACAATCAGCTAAAAGTGAGGTGCAACGCTGAATGCTCTTTATTGCTTTTATTGTCCTCCACAGCGTTTGCAGGCCTGTGTGGGAACGTGATTTGGGTTTCTTACATTTTTCATGTAAGTGTTTCCCTTATGACCTGCTTTTGCCATAAAGCCCACTAAACGTCCCCAGACCATAGGCTGAGAAACACTACTGGAGGCCAAGGATATATCGTGTTGGACTATAAATAGACAGATACTCTCGATTATAGCAAGCAAGCAGGCAGAAGAAACAGCGTGCATGAGCTTTGCTCCCAGTTGGCCCACTCTTTTTTTATAAAGCCTGACTTTTATAATAAGCACGAGCAAAACAGCAGCGCTGGGAACTAGGCAAAGGGTTGTCCTGAGCGAGCAGGGCTCATGGCACGCTCACAGCCAGCCACAGCTGAAAGGAGCTGTGGGCAGAGCAGGGCGCGCAGGGAAGGCCCTGCCGCTGCACGGCGGGCACCACCGGCAGGGGGTAGCACCTGGGGCTT